GTGTCCTTATTTCGCAGCACCTGATGTTTCAATTCAGAATTTAGTATTAGATGGCAACTGGAAAGGGAGCCTTCTTACTGATTTGGTACCATGAGCAAGTTCATTTGCTTCCCTGTGCCTCAGTGTCTTCAACGATGGAATGAAATGAAGCTCTGGGCATTCTGAAGTAGAAGGACAGGTGCTAAAAAAGGAAAAGAACAAAGAGGGGAGAATTAATTCTCTGCCTCAAGCAGGACCTGCTCTATCATGAAGGAACCAAGTGTGTAGGAGTCTCTGTAACCATTTTTAGCTTTGGTTTGGGGCAGACAACTTGGGTCACATGTCCACGTACTTAGGTTAACTTTGTGTGTTTTACCTGATTTCTCCTCTCTAGTGAGCACTGATACGCAGTTTACCAATGCCAGGGGCTTAAATCTCACCCAGTTTCAAAATGAGAGGATGATGATTGAGCACTGCTCTGGGAGTTAAAGGAGTGTTTTGAGAGCCCACTCATGATCTGAAGTTGACGAAACAGGCAAAACCAACTGCACCTGCCTTCTTCAGCAACCCAGATGGAATGCAGGGGCTGACCCCAGGGACTGACGATCCGTGAGGAAGGAGGAGGAGGGAGGGGTGCAGGGAAAGAAGGGAGAAGAAGATTGAGGAAAGAGAAAACAAAACAAAACAAAAAATACATTACCATAAAAATGTTAAAATATCAAAGGAAACTATTTAGGAAGAAACACATGAAACAGCTCTTATCCATCAGTGACACAACCGGTAGCATCTCTTACTTGGGGCTTTGCCAGTGGGCATGACTGCGTGGAATTACTTTCGAATTCTCAGTATTGTTTAACATTGACCAATAGCTTCTGGGAAGGCTTAGAACACTTCGGGAATCTTTCAAGGAGGTGGCATTTAGGAATATTTTAATCTACCTGAAGGTAAAGAGAACCAACAGAGAATGAACTGAATTTTGGAGATTAGTAAATACACATTAAAATTAATATCAAGTGATAGCAGCATAGCTTCAAAGAAGATGCCATTTTGCATTGAGAAAAAGTTAACTTGATCAGTGTCTGGAAGGGCATATTATCTAACAATGTATGATCATTTGGTTGAGTTTCACTTGCAAGCAGAGAAATTTCTCCCTTCCTCCCGGTGAAGTGCTGCTATGGAGAGAAGAGTTTTCAAGTCGGTCTTAATAAGGATCACCCGTGTACCATTTGCTACTCCCAATCAGTGGTTTCTAGCCGTGTTATAACAGAGGAATGTCTTATGGGGCCCCAGCACATAGTATTCCTAACTGAAGGATTGTCACACAAGGAAACATCCTTCTTTTCCGTGTTGGAGTGCAGAAATACACCAGCACCTGAATGTTCAGAATGATTTAAAGAGGATGGGAACTTCTCAAATAAAAGTCAATTTATGGGATTTAAAAAACATTTTTCTTATTTTAAAAAAGGCAACCAGGTGATACGTGTCCATGTGGAGGCAGAATGTCACAGCTACAAATTAATGTCTTAGGTGGTTTTTCATTGACTTTTGTGAAGCCAAGTGGACCTCAAACTATTCTTAATGGTGAGCATCTTCCATGAAGTCAAAAGATTTGTAAGCGACGTTTACAATAGATGTGTAGGCCACATCTATTACTTTCTCTCAAAAATATTTTTAAAAATACTAAAATATATAAATATACATATATACTTCAACAGATCTATATTCTTAAAAGTGAAATAATTTTGAAGAATACTGTGCTTCAATGTATCATCAATGGACTTATAAATATTGTAGTAAAGCGTCAGCAGTAGAAGCTTAGATAATTATCTCCTATGCTGTCAGTATAGACAATGACATTAAATTACAAGAATACATTCTGAATGGATCTACAGAAATCCTTGGTTTTGTGGCTAAGGGTTGTTCATTAACCATGCTTTGATAATAACTGATTTCATGGCTAAAGGTGTGAATTAATTGTATTGAATGACATCGAATGCAATGAAAGCCCAGAATTTGAAGTTAGAAGTTCTAAGTTCAAAACCTAGAAACACCGATAACTGGTTCTGTATATTCTTCTTTTGTTTTAAGATTTTATTTATTTATTTGAGAGAGAGAGAATGAGACACAGAGATCATGAGAGGGAAGAGGATCAGAGGGAGAAGCAGACCCCCCGCTGAGCAGGGACCCTGATGCAGGACTCGATCCTGGGACTCCAGGATCATGACCTGAGCCGAAGGCAGTCGCTTAACCAATTGAGCCACCCAGGTGTCCGGTTCTGTGTACTCTTAATAGTATTGAGCCTTAGGGTTTTTCTTGAGGGTTTTTTTTTTTTTTTTAATAATTGTGGATACTTACTTTGGAGGTTAATGCAAAGATTAAATGAGAAAATACATATTAAAAGTACTTTCATGGAGAGGGAAACAAACTGGGTGATGGGCATTAAGGAGGGCACGTGATGTGATGAGCACCGGGTGTTGTGTGCAACTGATGAGTCACTGAACTCTACCTCTGAAACTAATAATACACTATATGGTAATTAAATTGAGTTTAAATAAAAATTTTTTAAAAAGTACTTTTATAACATGAACACACTGAGAAAATAACTAAATTACTAGCAATAAACAATTATTTTATTTAAGAAAAGTTGTCCAAAGAATCTCTCTACCTTCCACCCTGTTGCCAAAATGTTTCGTATTGATGTCATGATCTTTGTAAAGAGAGTAAAGAATCTAAGGAAAATTTCAAGTAATGGTTACTTGCTAAATTTTTTTCTTTATAGAAATATTAAATAAGTTAAGATGGCTAAGCACTTAAAATTTATTTTCCCCCCAAAAAAAGAGAAGAGAAAATATTTAAAGAAAACGTGTAAACATCTTTCCCTCAAAAGAACCATAACATGGAGCGCCTGGGTGGCCCAGATGGTTAAGCGTCTCGGGTCATGATCCCAGGGTCCTGGGATCAAGACCCTCATCGGGCTCTCTGCTCCTTGGGAGCCTGCTTCTCCCTCTGCCTCTCTCTCTCTCTCTCTCTGTCTTTCCTGAATAAATAAATAAAATCTTTATAAAAAAAAAAGAACCATAACATGTAAATAAAGTAGCATGATCACATACATCAATTACTACTTAGAAAGACAGTGCAACTCAACATAGAGCTTCTCAGAGTTTTAGAGCAGTCTTGGTCACTGTGATGTTTTGAGGCTTCCTGACATATTAAGAGAATATGGGTACCCAAATGGGGTTATAGAAATTGTAGTGTATTTTAGCTATTTGTATTTAGCCAAGTAATACTTGAAGAAACACAAAAAATACAGTGACTTTGTGCATACATCCCATCAGCACCGCTTCCTGACCAAGAGGTACCTACAGGGTAAATGATTCTCCTGCCCCCTTCCACCCATCTCCCTACCCTGCAGTAACCTTGCATAAAGCACACTATTTTCATGATATAGCAGCCAGATTTGAGTACGGAATATGTATTGGGTAGCTGCAGATCTGCTCCTTAGAATGAATCACTATCCAGATAGTCTTATCCAGCAAGAATTATCTAGGTTCAGTGGAAAAATTCAGTGAATGTGAGTAGCATCCTAGAGGCGCCTCTATTTTTACCAGCCTCTGCCAGGATGAATAAATTCCTTTTATTTCAAAGAGAGTGAACACTGAGTCACTTCTCTCATATATATTTTAAAGCAAAGAATAAACTAAGGCTGCCTGTGCATTTGCCTTCCATACACAGAAGAAACAACTTCCACATGGCCTTTTAATTATGTTACCCCAAACTAATATTCTTTGAAAAAGTAATTTTCTCTCCGTGGAGTTACTCCTGTAAGTTGGCACAGGATGGGGGGTGGGGCGGGGAGGGGGCCGTAAACACGAATACGGTCATCCATCCTAAGCACCGACAATTCCAAGAAACGCTCTGAGTATTTCAATGGACCTCCCACATTCTCGATAGGATGTTTTCCGTGCATGGTGATCCACAAATATTATCATTCCGTGACAATGCAGTTTCATCAAGGTACGTCTCAATCCACGGGATACGAGTCCCACACAACAGACGGAGAATTTGGCGCAGCCCAGCGCACGCTGCGTGTGTTACTTACTGGTTATATTGCGGTGGTCACACTGAGTCCCGTATGGCGCCGTATTAACGAATGGCATGCAAGCACCTTCTGTTGAAACATCTGCGACAGGGAAATTTCAGGCATTTTTCCAGATAATTTTTGTGCTCTGGACCAAATTTTCATTAGGACTATAAAACCTGGCAAGCAGTATTGTTGTGTATGATTTTTTAATAAACTGGGACATGCCTTTGTTACAGGAGTGAGGAAAAGGGCTCTTCAGAGACTCTTTCCTATTATAAAAAGTTCAGAAAACATATGACAGCTCACAAAATAACATCTCCCAACTTTTTTTTTTTTTTTTTTTTTAAGTGCAAGGTTCCAGGCTTTCATAGACATATAAATAAAATTCACAGTTTCGGATGCAAAAAGCAAAAATGCAGATTTTCACAACTTGGAGTAAATGATTCCAATGGTGGCTTTTCCTTAAACATGTGTTTGTTAAGAATGCACACAACCAACAGAGATGTTTTTTATGTATTTGATTTTTGATGCTTGCTGCCAAAAAAAAAATCTGTGCAAGAGGTTTTACTTGCTTTAAGAGACACAGTGTCTCAGAATGAGAAAGAAAGTAAGGAGTTTGGGCACATGCCTTTTTGTACCCACAAACAATGTGAACTTAACAACTGGCATTGTTCATTTTTTTCACCAGTTCAAATAAGGGTGTTTCCATTTCTTTCTTCACTGCCAATAACCACCCTACTACAGTAACGGAGGCTAGAAAAACTCCCTTTTGTAATTCTTCAATTCCCGGTGCTCTGCTACAAACACTAATGCAAAACAAACATGCTTGGCAATAAATATGTGCATTATCATTATGTAAATAGGCATGTTATCATTATCCTTTGATGATGCTGTTCTTTGTAAAGGCTTTTTTTTTTCTTTCTAAATATATTATCCAATTTAAGTTATAATGCATATTATACCACTGGGGCTATATAAACACTCTAGATCAAGGAGAATTAGTAGTCAGTCTATAATGTAACAAAATGTTTACCACCTATGCATATGGTGTGTGATGCAAACAAACAGACCATTGCTGTTGCACGTTATACAGTCCCACCCCAGCCGTGCATGAAAACCTCTGAGATTAATATCCATCTTGCTGTTCAAATTGAGTACCACATTATGACATTTTATATTGACAACATTATAAGCTGAGATGATACATTTTAAACTCGATGAGATGAATGATCTAGTAGGATCAGAAAATAGGCTGCATATCTGAACCTTATATGAACTAGGAACAACTCATGTCACAGTCTGTTTGGAAATGTTACAATGTTTGCATAAATCCATTGCTTATGCATAAGCACCAGGGAACTGGAATCCTGAGGCAGGCAGTAATCTGTAAAGTTCTTGTGGCGCTTGATAAGCATGCAAGATGCATCACACATTCTCCTTGGTGAATTGCAAATGTTTATGTAAGAAAGAGCAGATAGCTGCATATTGTATGAAAAGATCAAGGCTGATTTCTACAGTAGGGATTGGAAGGGAGCTAGAGAGGATGGGCCTAGGGAAAGGAAGGGCTAAATACCCCTTCCGATTTACTCGGACCCCTCAAAACAAGCAAAACCACCTGAAGAAGTAGCTGTTGGCTCCTACTTTTTGTCTTCGTATTCTGTAGCTGTCACAATGGTTGGGCATACCGACCGTTTTAGTTCACCTATAAAGACATAGTGAAACTACTAATTAAAGTATAAATGATGACGTTCCTTTGCTTCCATTATTTTCTCTTTTCTGGAGTGAGTAAGTTGTTAGCTCTGCAACAACAAGACAGTTCTATTTATTAATTGTTTAAAATAATGTTGTCGATATATATTTTTTTAAGTCTCCTAAAGGAGTATGCTACTTGACACATAGTTAAATTGATAAGAGCTCAAACAGCTTGAAGACTTGGTTTTTGTAAATTTCAAACACTTTAGCACTAGAATCTGATTTACAGGGTTTCAGAATGAACCAGTCCGGCCATGTCTCTCATGTTCCTACCTCACTCTTTACTAAGCACTTGTTCTGTGTAAAGCCTTTTCCCTGGTTCGGTATGTCATCCAATCATAGTTAGCAAGTGCTGTGTACCACTGGGGCGGCAGACAAACCTGAGAAGGCTTTGTGGGGTCTCAGATATTCACCAGGTACATCAACCCAAGAAAGGGCCATTTCTATTCTCGAATCAGATTAATGGTGGGTATAATTTGAGCAATGCGGGCCGGGGGGGCAGCTATGGCATGAACTAACACCGTGTTCTGGATGCAGTGTTTCCTTAAATCTCCCCTGGGAGAACCAGACTCCCTCTTCACTCCAGGCCTGTGCTTGTCCCCTGTCCTCCCCTCCCTACCCAGCTCCTAGCCTTCTCCCTCCCACTTTTTCTGGGTTCATTTCCTAGGGTTATCATAAGAAAACCCCATAGTCTAGGTGGCTTAACCAAACAACAGAAATATATTTCCTCACAGTTCTGGAAGTCCAAGATCAGGTACTGTCAGCGTTGGTTTCTGGTGAGGCCTCTGTTCCTGGCTCGCACATGGCCTGCTGTTTGTTGGGTCCTCCTCACATGGCCTTTCCTCTGGGCATGTGCAGAGACAAGGGTGATCTCCGTGTGTTTCCTTTTCTTATAGGAACATGGGTCCTATCAGATTAGGGGTCCCACATTTACCCTTAATTACCTATCTGATGGTCCTGTGATCAACCACAGTCATATTTAGGGGTCAAGTCTTCACTACAAATTTGAGGGACGCAATTTAGTCCATAGCACTAGGCATCAGTCAGGTCACAGCTAAGATCTGCTTTCGTCCTGGGAGCAACCCCAGCCCTAAAGTTTAGGTCAGGTGGCAGTTTTGAATTAAACCAGAGGTCCCATAACATCTTGCATGTCACAGCAGCAAACGTGACATTCTTTCTACACCATGACAGGAGATCTAGTTAAGAGGCTGAGTATGTGCTTGTCAGATCATCACAGAGAAAGTGTTTCCTGAGGCAGACATGTGCGAATCAAGGCCCCAGGCCAGTGTGTTTAAACAAAACAACCCCTCTTTGAAAGTGGACCCATTTTTTACATTTGTAAATACAAAAATGCAAACCAAGACCTGCAAGACTAAAAACTAGGGAGTGAGAATCCACAGAAAGTGTAGTTACACCGGTTGACAAAACCGTTAGCTTGGCATCTGGTGCTTACAGTCCTGACTGGGTTGATGGAGAAGAGACTTAGGGTCTGTCGACTTAAGGGTCAACACAGCTCAGACTGGGAGCAGATTGTGAGCTGTGTCTGCAAACTGCCATCCACTGATCTACACACTATTCAAGATCTACCAAGGAAGTCACATGTTGCTTCACCCCTTCCTTGGAAGAGCGGATGGGAGCCTGCTATCCGCCGGGGAGTTCCTAAACTTGAATGTGTAACAGTGTACCCACCGTCATTAGTCTTATTTTTAGAAATTCTATCTGGCTTCTGGCAAACCTTTGGGGGAAAGTGGTAACACTGGGCCTCTCGGAGGAGTCTTCGTTGCCTCTTCTCCATCTCCTGGGTTGGACCATGGTTGAGATTGTATCAGCCTTGGTGACCTGATAAATTACAAAGGTAGCTGAGAAAATCTCTGTACGGTGGCGACATGTAGGGTAGTGGTTTTCTTCCCCAGGGGACATTTGGCAACATATGATGAAATTTGGGGTTGACACTAACATGGGTGGGGAGCAAGGAGAGTGGCACTAGTATGTAGTGGGTAGAGGTTAGGGATGCCACCAAACATCCTACAATCCCGTGACAAAGGATTATGTGCCCCTCAAATGTCAATAGTACCAAGCTCAGAAACTCTGATGTGGAGGTTAAGAAAGGAGTTTTGGATTAAAACAGTCACTTGGATAATCTCCTTAACCTGTCACCATAGTTAAGTTCACTCACCTATCAAATGAGCATAAAATATGCATTTCTTAGCCCTGTTATAAGGATTAATAGATAATATATTGAAATATTTATTGCTAATTTAGCATAAACCAGGTGCTAAATAAACTCTGAAATGCTTCATGCAGTGACACATACTCAGAAACCATCAAATAAACATCAGGAACTATTGTAATACATTTCTAAATAAATAAACTGTTGCAAATATATAGCATTCAGACTAGATTGTGGATTAGTGTCGGGGGTGAGCTGAATGGGTGGGTGTGTTAGATTAGAAAGTTATTTGTGACTGCCCCATTATTTCTGAAAAATGAACCTATTCTATGATGTGTGGAGAAAAGAAACTCAAATCACCAGGCAAAAGAAGTCCAGTCACATCTCTCGAGAGATCAGTGGGTTCTGGGGACCAGGGAAAAGCCTTAAGAGGGCTGAGGGCTCAGGGGACACAAAAAGAGAGGGGAGGGGCTGAGAAGACAGGGGAGCTGAGTAGGAAGGGACAGGGATGGAGAAACCTTATGGAAAGTAGGAGGCCGGGAAAGCCTGACAGGAAGAAATACAAAGGCAGATAGCCTGAAGGAGGCAAGGCTGGAATTCCCAATCCTTGATATAAGGATCCAACTTCTCCAACTCAAAAAGAACTTATTTTCCTTTTATGAAAACACTTGGAACATAACAGGTCTTCCGTCAAGACTCTACCATAGTTACCGTAATCTGTCCGAAGGTATTCCTCGGCATCAGGACACCTCCTCCCTCATCCCCCTTCACCTTGTCAACGACCTCCCTGAAGTAGCAACCTACCACTGGGGCTGTGAAAGAGAAAACAATGGTCCCCACCAGAGGTCCTGGCTCAACATCAGCCGGATGTGGGACACAGGCCTGCCAGTGTCTGCAGGTCCGTGTGTATTGAATTGGATGCAGCACGAATCAAATATGAGAGGGAATTTTAATTGTTTTTAAAACACCAAGAGAACAGCTGAAATTCTTGAAAAACAGCACCGGGTAATTGAGCTTGGTACTGAGATTATTGAAAAGCTGGAAAGTTCTTGATGTTAATGTTCTAATCAGTACAATCATAAAACGACTAGCTTTTTAAGAGACATCACATCTCCATTTACACAAATTTCACGTAAGAAAGAAATTATCTTCTCAGAGGGTTGTTTTCCTTTTTTTGAACTCAAATTCATCTCTGTCCCCCCTTGAACTGACGAGCTCTCCCAGAAGTGGGGGCCTTGAGAGGAAGCAGAGCTCAACTCCAAATCCACACCGGCCATGCGGCGCCTGCATTTCCCCCAATTCCTTTCAAGTTGAACACACTTTTCAGGAAAGGGGAAAAAAATACAAATGCTCGAGAAGCCTTTTATAAACAAGCCATTTAAACTTCAGAGACAATTAGCCCCCTGCCCATTTTTAACTTCTGGGTTTCAGAGCCTTGGTTTTCCTGATAATTTACTTTTGAAAGGCTCAGGCCTGTGGGGCTGTCCAGGGTGAGTTCTGCCGTCACATGTGTGGCTGCTTGGAGATGTCGAGCTGCCGTGGTCAGTCCGACGAAGTATACATAAGCTTTTGGCACCACGTATCTGCAATATCATGGACGGTCAAGGAGGCGCCTGTTATAAAAATACACAGTGAAACACAACTGAAGGACTGCTCTTTCTCAAAGACGAGCGTAATGCATTCCTTCTGTTTAGGCTCATTTTCCAGCCTTTCACATTCTTTGTGAACAAGAGTTATAAAACAACCCTGATGCCGGCCAATTATTTTTACTTTGAAGGCCATTAATCAAGATTGACTAAGAAAATGAAGACAGCTAAGCAAAATTTCATATGTGACTAGAGTGAGATTAAAATAAAACCAGATGGGATGGACAGAGACACTAAGCATTTTTTTTTTAAATTTTTGGACTCATGTAATAAATGTCTTTTACAAATTACAGCTCTCTTATTTTCTTACAGTAAATCAAATCAGGCCATAACATACAAGTGGTCTCATTGCTGAAATGTCAAAAATAGAACCTGCCTTGTTCTTGTAGAGTAATTCCTCAAATCTAAACCAGCAGTGTGGGCTAACAGTCTATAAACCATTTACCTGCGTGCAATCAGAACTGTACCTGATGGATGGATTTCTCATGGCCTCCAAGCAACACCACACAGTGAATTCACAGAAATCTCACCCTGAAATGATTCGGGCTTTTGGATCAGACTTATCAAACAGTCCAGTGCCCCACAGGTTAAGAAAAGGCGAGTTCGAGTGCTGTTAAATATCCAGATTCTCTGTCATGAAAATGACTAAGGAGGTCACAAGCTCAACCTATTTGGAGACGTGAAAAAATTTTTTTCTTGATCTTCAAGACCAGTACTGCTGGTAGATTATTTTTTCACCTGATTGAACATTTTGAAATACACATTTTATAAACAAAACAGTAAAATGTGTATGTTAAAAAATAAAACGAAATCTTTTTCTCTAATTTTGCATGGATAGCAAGGTTCTATCACCCTTACTTCATACAGCAGCAGAAATCTTCCCGCAGTGAGAAAATGACTGAAAATAACCAGCTGTTACGGGATCTCTATCAAAACACACACCATAATCCCAAAGAATTCTTCCCCATTTAGCACTGTCAGGTTAAAAAGTCTGCTTAGGAAATGAGACTAAACTTTCTTTTCATAACACTCAATGAACCATTTCCACCATATATTTAGAGAGGACATATGCATTTCTCAAAGCAGATTCAAAATAATCTGTAAAGAAAATGAAGTGGATTTTCAACTATGGTAAATTTTCTTAACTCCTCTGATGCTTCCCTTTCAAGATGAAAAAGGCAATTTTGAGTTTTAAAAAGGGTATTTTTTGCAAAATTCTTTTCTTGAGAAAAAAAAATCAACCCATGAGAATGAGAAGGACACCCACCATTCATTCCTTCTCCACAAATCTCTAAACAAATCAGGAAACATTTGTCTAAAATTCCTCAGAAAACAAAACAACTCCCTACACATAGTTATATTTTATTTAATGCAATGGATGCGATCCTCAAAAGTTATATTAACATCGCATTTCTCTAAGTGGCCTCAACAATTAATTGCTTCCTATTTAAAGGCTGCTGGTGAATTCTTTTGTAAATAGGGTTTCTTACTGATATATTGAGGCCACCATAAAGGAATATTAATGGATTAATGGTTTAATTAAATTAAATTGGCACAAACTTCTGAAAGCTCAGAGCATTTCTTGATCAGTGATCTACAACCAGACTAACTCTCCACAGTATGCTTATTTGTAAAGCAGTAATACAGGACTCTACACACCAATATAATTCTAACTCATGGAGAATATTATCATGAAAATTTTGTTTTGATCTCAAATAATATAACAAATCCAAACTCAGTATCTTTTTTGTTGTTGTCAAAGCTATCTACTTCTCTTGATGTCCAAATGTCTGTTAATTGCAATCTCATCCTCCAAGCTAAACCTTAAAGTACCTTAAATTTTAACATCTTCCAGTACTCTTTAATATCTCAAGCACCCATGCTACTTTCCCTCCCCTGTCTGCCAGCCATCATGTGCTACCTGTCAAAATCGGTCCATGAAGTCAAGACTTCCCCAAAGTCCAGTACAGAGGAACTGACCATCCTGGTGGGGTTGGGGGAGGAGGATATGTCAAGGGGATGGTACTACTAAGTCATCAGCTTTCTGTGCAAAGAGGGGCAAGTCAGTCTAGAATCTAATGGAGCAGAATAGAAGAGTTTAACATAGCCAAGAGAGGAAATGTCCATTTGTCCCCACCTCAGTCTTAACCTTTTCCATTTCTCTGGTTCCATCATTCATGCTCAAGTCAAAAAAAAAAAAAATCTAAGAATTATTTGAGATTCTTTTCTTTCCTTATTGGCATCCAATCCATCAGTAAATGCTACCAACTCTGACTTCACAGCACACCCCAAACTCCCAACAGTTCTCTACTGCTCACTATTAAACTTATGGTCAAGTCTCCTCTGACAGTGACTTCTTGCCTCAACTATGGCAATGGACTCCCTATGTTGTCCCTGCCTCTTCTCTGGCCCTTATGATCAATTTCCAAGAAAGCAACAGAGTGATCTTTTAAATACGGAAATTAGGTCTTATCTTACATTCCTCTTGAAAACTTTCCAACTGTTTTCCTTCCCAAGTAGAGTAACGTCCTAACTCATTACAATGCCAACACCCTAACTTATTACAGTGGCCTAAACAACCTTATCTCATCCTGTCTCCACTTACCTTTCTTACATTATCTCCTTCCACTTTCACTGTGGCTTACTACATTCAAGCCAACTGGCCGTTTGTTGTTCCTGGAATGAGCCAAGTTCATTTCTGTCTTGGGGCCATTGCCTTGACCATGCCCTGTACACAGAGCACTAAAAAAAATATTTTGCCAATATTATGTATGGCTGTCTGCTTCTTGTCATTCAAATCTCTGTTTAAATGTCACTTTCTCAGAAGGGCCACTTTAACACTCTGCCTACATTTCCCCCAGTCATTGTCTGTCACATTACCTTATTTTAATTCTCTGCCCTTTTCCTTATGAATGTATTCATTTATTTGGTGACTGTCCATCAACAATAGAATGTGAGCTCCATCATGGCTGAGGCCTTGCCTCTCTTGGTTGCCGCTGTATTTCCAGCATTAGATCTGTGCT